AGCTAATGATGCAAGTTAGATGTGATCAAAAGCTAATTAATCATTTCTTGCACCAAACAACCATATTTTTCCTAGGTCGACAGGGAGATAAAGTGGTATCTTGATTGATAATTAGTAGTTGGTTAATTTATGCGTTAAAACTTAGACCACTTTAAACACTTTTTTAAAGTGTGGATTTGTATATTAGGCTTTCTTCTCAATGTCAATTTCCACCATAAAATGGACCTGCACCAAGTTTTCTTTCACGGAAAGGTAAACCCCTTTCTTGCTTTCTTCTTTATAAATGCTTGTCATTTGTCAATTGGAGACAAACTTGTGGTTAGTGACGATTTTAGTAACGTGCATGGGCAAATTTACAAAGTTGCATCCTTGAAGACTACCATATTTTTATGTCGACAAACTTGACATTTTTGTACAAATTTCCAAGGATTTCATAAGATTTTCGTGGTTTTGAAACATTGAGATTGCGCATATGTTCCATCTTTAATAAAATTGCTTATCTTAGTTATCTAGAGGATATAGATAGAGTTTAACAGAGTCATTACTTTAGGCTTATTTTCATTCTAGTACCCCAAAGTTTACCGCTTTAACTTTGATATTTGAAAATTTTGTTTGACACTTCAATACCCAAAGTTCCAATCCTGTTTCAATTTGATACCACTATCAAGATCTAATCACATTCTTTTTATAAACCCATATCACATGCTTAGCACGTGATGCATCTAGGTCAATCATACCTCATTACAACAAAAGTTATAAAATATGATACCTTTTTTTCTTTATGCAATATATTTTTGTATCACGCAAATAGAGTATGAAATATATCAAAAGTGTGATTAGAGCATGTGTGCAGCGCGTCCTTCTACACATGTGAGAATGTATTGTAAAACTCACGACACATATATGTCGAGAATTTGACTCATACATGTATCACAAAACTCGTGACACATACATGTGTCAAGAGTGGTGACACATAGTTGTGTCTAGACTATAAAAATATGAAGAGTATCATCATTGAACATTATAACTTTTGAAAAGGTCACTCATCCAAGAATTACTCTCACCAAAACACATTTAACTGTAGAGCTTTTTTTAACTTGTACACTATCATAAATGTTTAATCATTCACATAATTAAAATCTAAAAGTTATTATTTAAGCCTATCAATAGATATTCCTCCCTCAATCTATATTGGACTATTAGTCTTTTATAATTATATTTAATTGTATATATAATGACACAAATATGTGTTGTGATTTGCCACAATTTTTATTTGTGTCACTACATCCTTCACAAATAAAATGACATTTTTATATGTGTCATTAAATAAGTGTGGATAAATACAACTTTTGTCTACCTCTCTCATGAAAAATGATATGCCATCTGTATCCTATGAGTATTGTTTTGTTTTCTAGCATGAAAAGCTCTTGTTCAAAGTATATTTTGTGCACTTTTATTAAAAAATGAAACATGAGAACAAATATCTATGTTAGTTCTAGTTTTAAGATCTACTTGACTAACTCTCTTGGACCATCGAACTTTTTTAATTCTAGTACTAATTTTCATCGTTCTGGATTTGCACCTTTCCTTGTGTGAAAAGAGTTCTTTCTGGACATATTACATTTGATCGGTCAGGGTAGTGTGCATACTTTGAGGGCAATGGACCCTTCATTTTGTGGGGTTAAAACACAAGGAACACACCCTTAACACATTTATATATATATATCTGTTTATAAGTGAAAAGAAAATATTAACAGTTAGTAGGGTAGATGCCCTAAGCTCTAATAATGGTCGAGAAAAC